TCTCTTTATTTTAGCCTGAAATCGATCCAAAAAACCTCACTTTCCAAAATTGCCAGCACAAAGAAGCGAGAAATGTTTGAGGAGATAAATGCTAATAACCCTGATCCTTCATGACAGAGGTATACCAGTAACACATTGTTGCACTCAACCCCTGTAAGTCTGTATTATAACTATTAGGATTCAACTACAAAGTAAATTTAAAAGTAATCTAACTACTTAATATATTGTAAACTTTGTGAGAGCAAGAGCCTTGTCTTACATCTTATGATTCATCATTATATCCCCCCAAACTTTTTAGCTCAGAATTCTCATAAAATAAACATTCGGGGTTTAACTGTGAATGCTCCACACTTATCAGCAGCAAACATCCCCACGTTCCTCTGTGCGTCACATCACTGCAGAGAAGGCTATGCTCCTTTGCATTTCTCAGAAGACAGCCTCCTCTACGTTACTCATTGTAGTTTAAGGACTAAAGAGTAAAATCATGCAGGATAACTGCATTTCCTATATACAACAGACAGAATGCAAAGGGGAACTCATGTGTCCAGATAAATGACACAAAAAGGAACGCAAGGAAAAGGACAGAAATGGATCTGTAGAAGAATCTGCCTCATGGAGGAACAGGGGTATGCACGCACACTGGGATTCCTAGGGGGCACAGCAGGGATGCACTTGTGGAAGGTGGAGGTGGAGATCACTGGACCACACCCAGAGAACTTCTCACCAGACACAGACAGCTCTGGCTCAGCCAGGACTAGAACAGCAGGGAAGTGGAGGATGGAGAATTAGAACAAAGTCAGCATCAGTCATGGTTGAGTCAGAACTGTATCCCACGTGGTGGTCATGTGGGAACGTAGACCAGCCATGATTTATTAACCCCATACAATCTGAATCTCCTTAGTCATGCAACCAAGAACATTCTACCATTCCCAAAAGGGCTGGCTTTGCTTCCCTCCAGCCTATATTCAACTCCTTCCTATCATTTCTGCCCTCACTAGCCATGATCTCCAGACTCCTGTGGGTGTGGCCCAGGATTGCTAATCACAACCCACTGTGTACCACCTGTGAAAATCCTGGAGCTCACCCCAGACTGTGGGGGATTACTGATAACGTTATTTTAGTGACTGATAAATTCTTATGAGCTGCCTAATGGAATCTATGATCCCATAATGAGGACACAATTGACATTTAGGCCTAGGGACTTATTTCTGGAGAATCCACTGCAATGTAAGAGCTGTGGGCCTCCCTGGCCATCCCCCAAGAACAGCCATGGGTGTTCCCCAGTCGCTGAGATAACCCACACTGCAAGTCTCCGAATGCCCTCAGACTAGCAGTACTGCCCCAGCGGCTCGTGACCTGCAGTGTTCACAGTAGTAGCCAGCCTCTTAATTGCTGAAATGGCCTCTCTACCAATGCAAACGTGGAAAAGTCAGGGAGCGCACGGCCCCAACATGTGCAGCTGTCTGAACCACTGAACATCAAGCAATCTTCCATGAGAAGTGATGGGGAGAACTTAAAGCTACATCCTTTACATTACATACTTCCTAGAAAGATGACAGATACATAGATAGAAAGAGGAGAGAGAGAGGAGTAGGTGGAGAGACAGATCCTTGTTCAGTAATGGACAAGAGGAAAACAACCTTGGTCTGAATGTGATTCATCCATATCCAACATGGAAGTCTGCCCCAGTTGATGCATATTATTCCCACGGCCCCTAAGGCCATAAAACAGATACACGGTCAAGCAGCCTTGTCCCAAACGCAATTTTGTCATTTTGCATCTGCAGTGCAACTGCTGCCAACTCTGGGATGCAGGAGTTCAGAGGTTAACACCACGTTACACGCATCACGGGCTCATAGTACTGTCCTCTCACTCTGTACTGGAGCTGCACTGAGCCCTTGGTTTCCAGACTACGCTACTTCTGTTTAATATCTGTCTTCTCTTCTACAAATTACCACTTGCCCTGGAAACTAACTCATCTGAATAAGACACGAATATCGTTGACTACCTCCTTCTAGACCCATTTCTGCCTACCTACTAGAATTCCACATTATATAGAATGTGTGCTCCTGCAGGGTCATTGTCCCTGAGTTTCTGGGTGGCTGAAATCTGAATTCAGAGCTGCTGTGCTGTGCTCCCATCATACTAAGATGTATCTGAGTTCTCCTTGATCCTGACAAGTTCCTAGACACTGC